CTTTCCCTTTTACCATATTATGGTCGTCTGGGCTAAGGCACCGTGTAGCCTGGTAGGTGAGCACAAAATATTTTGGGGAAACATATTTTCTCAATCTTCGATGTAGAAGTCCTTATGGTCTTCTGGGCTAAGATAATGTGAAGCCTGGTAGGTTTGTTTGGACATTTCGTAGGAACATACGAAAGACTAGGGAAGTCAATGAGACTGGGAGTGTCTGGCTATACACACAGAATGGCCTCTTTTCCTTATCTTCTTCTTCCTCTACTGGTCCATGCCAGGACCTAAGGTTTCCATTAGCTTCTCTATTTCTTGCTAAGTCTCTCTTCAGCGACTCATTTCGTTCCACCACTTTCTCTGTATCATCATCACCAGTTTCCTAACTTATCATAATTATCAACTGAAACTTGAGGCAGTTGTCCGTCCAAACGTTGCTAAACACCTTCAGACCTGCCCCGGTACCTTAGCACCTTGTTGCACTCGTCCACTTGTTTCATTCTCTAACGCAACATCAATTTATATTTTAAGATATTATAATTACATTTATATTTCTTAAAATTTCGTTAAAATCACATTTTATTTTACTGTTGCGACATGTTTCGGCACTATAATGCCATCCTCAGGCAATTGTTAATCGACTGAAACCGGCGCACACTAATCAGCTCTTACGTGAATATGTTACATGCTACTAACGCACATCGTCGTAGTTTGAGTATATCTGCCCACGCTTCACTCACGCGGCGTCCACGCTGTTCCCTTTGTGCGCAGCGCTCCCTAGGCGGGCATGTATCCGACTTCACTGCCACTAAAACATATAAATCTATTTCTGTCATTTTTCCTTGTCATTTCACGGTCCGCTTTATTGTTGCATTATTATCTTCGGTTATGGGGACAGGAAGCATCCTTCATAGACTTTCCATTATTGTCCGCCTATCTGTACGGGGTCACCTCGTTCTTAAAAACAAGACGTTGGTTGCAGAGTAATGGCGGTGTAGCAATTAGGTGCAGAAAGGATATACCGGTGTGATAAGCCTAATGTTATATTTTAGCGTCCTGTTGCACTGATTTAAGTCCATGATTTATTTTATCCGTCTTCTAGTGCATACATTCATCTATTCCCTCTTCTCACTCGCACTACATGTTTCGGCACAAATGTGCCATCTTCAGGTGCTTAT